ATGTAGGTTCACAACACCCTTTTACCACCAGCTGATATAAGATAACACATGTGTGTAGGGGAGGCAAGGGGAAGTTGTCATGTTTGAGAAGAGTGCAGAGAGCTGTGTGATGTGGGTTCACAACACCCTTTTACCATCAGCTGATATAAGATAAACACATGTGTGTAAGGGGGAGGGGGGGGGTCATCATGTTTGAGAAGAGTGCTGAGAGCTGAGTGATGTGGGTTCACAACACCCTTTTACCACCAGCTGATATAAGATAACACATGTTTGAAAGTGGGGGGGGGGGGGGGGTCGTCATGTTTGAGAAGAGTGCAAAGAGCTGTGTGATGTGGGTGCACTTACACCCTTTTACCACCAGCTGAAATATGATTACACCTGTGTGTAGGGGGGGGGGGGAGGCAGGCGTAGGTTCTAATGTTTGAGAAGAGTGCAGAGAGCTGTGTGATGTGGGTTCACAACACCCTTTTACCACCAGCTGATATATGATTATACCTGTGTGTAGGGAATGGGGGGGGGGGGGGGCAGGGGGAGGTTGTCATCTTTGAGAACAGTGCAGAGAGTTGTGTGATGTTGGTTCACAACACTCTTTTACCACCAGCTGATATAAGATAACACCTGTGTGTAGGGGGGGGGGGGAGGCAGGGGGGAGGTTGTCATGTTTGAGAAGAGTGCTGAGAGCTGTGTGATGTGGGTGCATGAAACCCTTTTACCATTGTAATTGTAGTCAAGCAATCAAGCAAATAAATGATTCAATCGGAATCGCATGAATGGTAAATGGGAATATTACATGTACATGTAGTTACATTGAATGGTAAAGGATGAGAATAAACATGAATAATTCAATTCAATCTAATTCAAGGTTTATTAAAAAATATCTTCGCAGCCGTATAAGGCTGAATTGCGATCTAATTCACAGATGCAATAAATGCGATGGACATATGATGAATAAATGAAATGAATAAATAGAGATTACGACAGTGGAAATGGTGCCGAAAGTCCAATGAAGATGAAGAGAGTTGAGAATGAAAGAAGGGGCTCACGCCCTGATGGTGCGTAGGATGAGGAAAATGATGAAAATAAAGTCAGTGTCCAAGCAAAGCAGGAAGTCGCTCGATGAGTCGGATGAGCTGTGTGATGTGGGTGCACATACTGTACACCCTTTTACCACCAGCTGATATAAGATAACACCTGTGTGTAGGGGGCAGGGATGGTTGACATGTTTTAAAAAATTGCAGAGAGCTGTGTGATGTGGGTGCATGTACATCCTTTTACCAACAGCTGATATAAGATAATTGTGATGATGATGATGATGATGATGATAATGATGACGATAATGACGATGATAATGATGATCATAATGATGTTGATAATGATGTGATCACACTGATAATGATGATGATAATGATGATGATGATGATGATGATAATGATGTGATCACGATGATAATGACGATGATAATGATGATGATAATGATGTGATCACGATGATAATGACGATGATAATGATGATGATAATGATGATGATAATGATGTTGATAATGATGTGATCACACTGATAATGATGATATAGATGATGATGATGATGATAATGATGATGATAATGACGATTATAACGATGATGATAATGATGACAATAATGATAATGACGATGATAATGATGACGATGATAATGATGATGATGACGATGATAATGATGATGATAATGACGATGATAATGATGATAATGATGATGATAATGATGATGATAATGATGATGATAATGATGTTGATAATGATGTGATCACACTGATAATGATGATGATAATGATGATGATGATGATGATGATAATGATGATGATAATGATGTGATCACGATGATAATGACGATGATAATGATGATGATAATGATGTGATCACGATGATAATGACGATGATAATGATGATGATAATGATGATGATAATGATGTTGATAATGATGTGATCACACTGATAATGATGATATAGATGATAATGACGATGATAATGACGATGATAATGATGATGATAAGGATGATGATAATGATGTGATCACGATGATAATGATGATAATGATGATGATTATGATGTTGATAATGATGTGATCACACTGATAATGATGATGATGATGATGATGATGATGATAATGATGATAATAAATGATGTGATCACGATGATAATGACGATGATAATGACGATGATGATAAGGATGATGATGATGATAATGATGATGATAATAATGAAGATGATAATGACGATGATAATAATGATGATAATGACGAAAATGATGATGATAATGATGATAATGACGATGATGGTGATAATGATGATAATGATGATGATAATGATGACGATAATGGTGATGATGATAATGATGATAATGACGATGATAATGACGATGATAATGATGACGATAATGATGATGATAATGATGTGATGACGATTATGATGATGATAATGATGATGATAATGATGATGATAAATGATGATGATGATGATGATGACGATAATAATGATGATAATGACGATGATGACGATAATGATGACGATAATGATGATAATGATGTGATCACAATGATTATGATGATGATAATGATGATGATAATGATGATGGTGATGATGATGATGATGATGATAATGATGATGATGACGATGATAATAATGATGATAATGACGACGATGATGATTTTTATAATGACGATGATAATGATGATGATGATAATGAAGATGATAATGATGATGATGATGATGATGATAATGATGATAATGATGATAATGACGATGATAATGATGATGATAATGATGTGATCACGATGATAATGATGATGATAATGATGACGACAATGATGATGATGATGATAATGATGATAATGACGATGATAATGACGACGATAATGATGATGATGATGATGATAATGATGATAATGACGATGATAATGACGATGATAATGAAGATGATAATGATACTGGTAATGATGATGATAATGATGTGATCACGATGATAATGATGACAATGATAATGATGATGACGATAATGATGATGATGATAATGAAGATGATAATAATAATGGTAATGATGATAATGATGATGATAATGACGATGATAATGATGACAATAATGTTAATGATGATGATGATAATGATGATGATGATAATGATGTGATCACGATGATAATGATGATGATAATGATGATGATAATGACGATGATAATGATGATGATAATGACGATGATGATGATAATGATGATGATAATGATAATGATAATGATGATAATGATGTGATCACAATGATGATGATGATGAAAATGATTATAATGATGATGATAATGATGATGATAATGATGATGATAATGATGTGATCACGATGATAATGATGATGATAATGATTACGATGGTGATGATGATGATGATAATGACGATGATAATGATGATAATAATGATGATGATGATGATGTTAATGATGATGATAATGATGATGATAATGATGATGATAATGATGATAATGATGTGATCACAATGATAATGATGATGATAATGATGTGATCACAATGATAATGATGATGATGATGACGATAATGATGATGATGATGATAATGATGATTATTATTATTATTGATATTATTATTTGTTATCGTTATTATTATTATTGATATTGATAGTGATGTTGTTTATTATTATTATTATTAATATTATTATTATAATCATTCCTTTTTTACCAAACATATATTTATCACAAATTTGCAGTTGTCATTTACCTTTTCCCCATACGTTTCTTCATGTCTTTCATTTTATTGATGTAGAGGACGCTTTTGATATGCTTAATTTCTGTTTATTAGTGTGCAAATTTTTTGCTTTGCCAAGTTATGAATTCTTATTCTATGAGCTTTTATCTCCTCTCAGACAAAAAATTGGGTAGTTATCCAAGGTGGGTCACGAAAACAAAGAAATAGGTAGATATCCACTACTCGGCCTATGGTCTAATTTTGTTCATATGATAATTAATAGGTATTCATGAATATGGTAATTAGGGGGGGGGGGTTGTCATGTTTGAGAAGAGTGCAGAGAGCTGTGTTTTGTGGGTGCACTTAAAAACCTTTTATCACCAGCTGATATAAGATTACACTTATGTGTAGGGGGTGGGGAGGGGGGGGGTGTTGTCATGTTTGAGAAGAGTGCGGAGAGCTGTGTGATGTGGGTGCACGTCCACCTTTTTACGACCAGCTGATATATAATTGTATCCTCAGGCAGTGTGCGTTATGCCGCTGCGCCATATTCTTTTGTGCGTTCTAACTGCCACATTCCTTGACAGATTTCTTTCAAATTTTGTATGGAGGTGTATCTTGGTATGATCTACACACCCATATCTTTTGCTGATGCTGCCCCTAGTGTTCTGTCTTCAATAGGGTAAAGGCCATATTTTGGTGGCTGTCCTTTTGTGCGCTCTAACTGCCACATTTCTTGACAGATTTCTTTCAAATTTTCTACAGAGATGCATTATACTCTAATCTTCACACTTATTGTTTTGGTGATGCTGCTCCTAGTCTTGACAATAGCCTGAGCAGCTAGTGGCAACCTCTCTACGTCATCCTTTTGTTTCAGGGAGGGGAGAGGGGATCTTTGTCCCTCCCTCGAACTTAAGGATGACACAAAATCACTGCCACTGCCGGGGGATACATTCGCATTGCGCAGCAATACAGATTGCGATATTTCTAGTTTCTTGAGGAAAAGAGATGCATTCCCTTGCCACTGTTACATCTATCAGCTGAAACTAATGACAGTGTGTAAACACACCCATCAGTGAAGGTCCTTATTCTCTTATGCGGGATGTATGATGAGGCCTTCCCACTAGCACATCTTTGCTGATTCTCTTTCGATTCACATTCACAGGAGTACATGCCCCTGCCTCCTGCAGCTGAAAGTGAGGACACTGAGAACACACCAGCTAGTGAAGATCCTTCCCACTATCACATATTTGATGAATCTCTTTCTATTTCACATTCACAGGAGTACATGCCCCTGCCTCCTGCAGCTGAAAGTGAGGACAGTGAGAACACACCAGCCAGTGAAGGTCCTCAGCTCCAGTTCTCGTATGTAGAATGTTTGATGTATACATTCCATCAGCTGGCCAGGAAGCATCCTGAATACTTAACCAGTGAGGAGGATACCGTCCCTGAGAGGCTCAAGGACTTCAGGCTCAGGTAAGTCTCTCAATCTCTTTCTTTCTGTCTTCTCATCGTCTGCCTGCATGAAAGCCTCAAGAACATACAGTCAAACCTGTTTTAGTGACCACCTGTCTACAACAAGCACATCCCTCCCCCGTTGGAAATGGTTTCTCATTCAAACATGTACTAAATAAACAAAGACCACCTGTCTACAAAGACCACTTTTTGTGCTTTTCCTTGGGAGGTTGCTATAGACAGGTTTGATTGTACCCTCAATGATGCTCAGCGATGCTCTTTATAGTATTATGTATTTGACTTCACCTGGGCCTTCAAATCTCTGGTGTAATACATCACCAGGGTTTCCTCCTGCTTTTATACCGATAATACAGTAAGTTCTAAATGTGCAAAGGTGTTGACTCTCCTACACAAGGGGCTCCATTTAAAGCCAATGGGTCGTCAGTTTCCATTTGCAGAAGGTCATAATTTGGTGACACCAGACTTGGGGGAAATACGATTAATAGGTGTACATGTCTTCACACAGCAAACCTGTAGGCCAGTCATCAGGTGATGAAAATGTCAGATAATGACTTAACCATATGGGGGGATCGGTGGAAAAGACAGAGCATTACATAAAGCCTGTTGTTCATAACACTAAAGGTTAATCCTGGTGTTTCACAACACCTGTTACCAAAACATTGTCAAAAGAGCCCACTTCTATCTGTCTCTAACATTGACATTTGCTATATGTATTCACCTTGAAGTAGAAATAAAATGAAAAATTAATTAATTCTTCTATTTGATGATGTTATTTCTCTAGGTTGCAATACTTTGCTAGGGGTGTACAGCTTTACAAGAGACAGCTTCGTCTAGCGCTTGAGGGTAAGGTAGGAGATCAGCTGAAGACAGATGAAAACAAGCTCAAGGTGGTCGCTCTCAGGATCACATCAAACATTGACTTACTTACAAAGGTACGTCCTCTAGCTTGGAATAGAACCATAACTACAGTCATTATGCCTCCGCCATACGTAGTGGATACTGGAGGAATTATGGCTTCAGGTTGTCCGTCCGTATTTATTCATGTGAACGCGATGATTTGAGAACGAATCAAGGTAGTTTAAAATATGAGGTTAACAGTTACTCTGTTCTGTAACCTCCCCAATATTTAATTGAGTTGATATCAATCAGATTTAAAGCAATATGGGACATTAAAGTGATACCGTACTAGAAGCACTATCGCAAAATCTCCTCTAGCGCCATCTCAGGTCAGCTTTAGCAGTATGGTCCCGTAATTTGCCACTTCCCTAAGTACGCTGTTGGTTCTGGCATGAAGTCTTCTGTCTGCGAATTGGTATTGGGTTATGCACTAAGGGCAAGTTGACCACAAGATGGTGCTTTGCAATAAACAGTACGCTAGGGCAGTAAGTTCATCAGTTCAATATCGCTTCAAAGCAAGCAAGCAACGTGATCATACCTTTATGTTATCCAAATTGTTGTGCATTTTGTGTGTAGGTCATGACGACGATCTCATAAGGGATATCAACCTATCATAGAAAGATGACTTACATGTAGATTGAAGCAGAGAAATGAGAAATTATAACTTTTGGACTTTAAGAAAAATCATCCAAAGCAGTTCTGAAGAAAAATGAAGTTGGAAAGCAGATTCTATCTTTGCAAGTACATATCCATACATGTACAGTAGATCTACCATAGAAAAAGAGTGCTCTTTGGTAAATTCAGCTAAAAATTATTTATAGTTGTGAATTGCAAGAATTGATTTATGATGCAAGTAAACACAATTGTTGGTAATTTAAACCAGTATTTCTTCATTCTCTGTAACTTTTGTGTTCTTTGACACAGGATCTGTTCCACAACCCTCCCTCGTATAAGAGTACAGTCATATTGTCATGGAGACCAGTTACCAAGCAACCATCTTCACCTAAAGAACAACCAGGGTATGTATCATGGAGAAACACAGAACATACAGATATGTTATCCATAACTCCTTAATGAAAATATATAATGTACTGGTAATTTATGGATCTTCAATCAGTTTTTTCTAAAATGTCATAGTTGTACTTTTTACCTTCTTTTCTCGATATGTCAGTTAGGCCTTCTCATCCTCAGCATTGTCTAATCTCTCTCTCGCTATCTCTCTCTTTCTCTCTCACCATTTTTCTCCCTTTGTCTTGCTCTCTCTCATAGTTTTCTTGGATCTCCTTTGCTGTCTGTTTTTTCCCTCCCTACCTTTCTCTCTTCTTTACTTCCCTCCAGCCCTTTTGTTCTCTCTTCTCTCTAATTTTAAGTTTTCATATATGATTTTGGAATAGATTTAAGCTGTTGTTGCCTGTTTAGCGATCTTTATTAATTTACATGTAGGTGTATATCTGATTTATTTAGAAAATTCAATCACTGTGTGTTATCTCATAATACGATTTGCTGGATAATTCTACTGTATTTTGTTTATGTTTGTATAATTATTTTATGTTTTTAGGCAATGTACACAATTCTTCAACTCAGCCATCTTGCAAATGAATTTTCCACAAAACCATTACCAATATGTAAACAGCACATCATAAAATATCAATCTATTATATGTACAGTGCTGTTATCATTATAATTGTCATTTTTCATTCAGTTAAAGACTCAATTATACATACCTATCTAAATTTGATGTTTTTGTGTTTTGTGTAACTCCAGAATGAAAGGTGCATTGGTTGAATTTGGTCCTTTGTTGAATACTTTTAGATAAAAGCTTTTAATATGTCACATTCTCAAGAAACATAAATCGAGACACATCAATTGCTCACATCTTTAAAAAATGTCAACATTTGTAAGGGTATGGATAATTTAGTTGTTAACTGTATACAAACAGCACCTTTACCTAAAAACAATGAGGGTAGATGGTATTGGGAAAGTAAGCAATATGTAAACAGCAATTGATTTTTTTAAAGAAAATGTTCCACAGTTTCTGGAAGGGTTTCGTTGGTTTCCATCTTCAATTTCTATCAGACACAGAAGAGCAATGTCACACCCATTGCATTTCTTGGTTGTCTCATTTTCCTTGCTCTGAACCCCATAAGAACAAGTACACCTTATAGAGTAGGCTTGCGGGTGCACCATGTGAGAGAGAGGGAGGATTGAGGAGTCCTGAAAAGGACTCTCAGTAATCTTTCTTGAGGGTGTGTAGTCCTGAAAAGGACTGTTGGTTATCTTGGTTATCATGGTGCATCCGCAAGCCTACTGTTTATCTACATCACCATGCAAGTCGATACTTACAAGCAGCAAGTAGACCCTAATTACATGCATGATGTGATTTGTAATGTGCTCTTTGCGTTCCTCCTTCCTTTTACATCAGACAAAAGAGGAGCAACATCACCCCCATCTCGTTCCCGGAGGGAGTTGCCCCAGCCAAGAAGAAGAGCCAGAATAGGGGTGGTGGAGGGGGGCAGAAGAGGAGTAACAGGGGTATGTATGCACCCCCTGGTGGCAAGTACAGTCAGAAGGCAGGCTCAGCTCCTGGAGGCGGTGATGCTAACTATGGAGATAACTACGGTGAGTCGGGTGTACTTTGATGCACAACAAAATAGCATATATGTGGAGCCGTAGTAAATTTGGTACCAACAGCATATCAAGTATGTGGGACTGTGGAGAAATATTTTTGACTGGGTTGAAAATACGAAAGAAAGTTGATGAAAAAGAAATAGTCAAATTAAAATAAAGTGATGTGAATGTATCAATGAGGGTGAGGGATTGGTAGGGGGCAAGGGAAGAAAAAGTGAGAATGAAAACCTTTGTCAAATGGATGAATATTTGGTTCCTCTTTTTATGTGCCCCTACATTTTCATGATTTTTAAGGTTAGAAAGTTGTAATCATCCACTCTACTACTTTTAACATACTATTAAAGATCTTAATAATCATAGATGTGCCAGTTTCAGTTTGGTTGATCACAACTCAAAAATATTAATTTCCTTTCTTATCCTTCCTTTCTTATCCTACAATATTCCTGAATAATCCCTTTCCCCTCCATCTCCTACTTCGATTTAAAACCTAATTATACCAGCTTATGTCTCTTTTAAAGAATGTTCCGCAGTAATGTTCAAGCGTACCTTAGCTGCGCAGGGCCAGCTGGTTATGTATTCACAATGCACAATACCTAGAGTTCCTTGCATGTACAGTAAATACATGATCAGCTACTCCTGAAGAGCTATGGTGCGCACAAAGGCTACTGTCCTCGATTAATTTATTTTAATTTCAACTGTCATTATGAACTTGTCTCATCTATATTAATTTAGATTCAAGATTCAAATGAGGTTTTATTTCCACGACTTATCAAAAAGTCCAAAGAATAAAAATGCAAGTTTACATCAAACATACAATCATATAAAAGGTATATTTAGGTTGACGTATTGCTATCTAAACCTCTGAAGGCAACACTTAAACACTATTGAATGAATATTTTGCACCCAAAACCCTTGAACCGCAATTTTACCACTACCGGTCTTAACCTTGAGTTCCTGGTATTATGTGCAGTAAATGCATGATAAGCTAGTCCTGAAGAGCTATGGTGCGCACAAACGCTTCTGTCCTCGATTAATTTATTTTAATTTCAACTGTCATTATAAACCCGTCTCATGTAGGAAGTGCGATATCCAAGTAAGGAAAGTGGAACATTGTGATTAAGATTTTGTCTCTTGTTTTTCTTTTGTTAACTAGGAGGCATGCAGGGCTACCAGAACCAGCAGGGGCGTGGAGGCTACGGGCGCACCAGAGGACGAGGGAGGGGCCGATACTACTAGGAGAATAACCTCATAGGATGCTACATAGGATGTATATACACTGAACTCTAGTATGTACAATCAAACCTGCTTTAGTGACCACCTGTCTACAAAGACCACCTGTCTACAAGGACCACATTTTTTGCTACCCTTGAAAATGGTTTCTCACTGAAACATGTACTAAAGGAACCTGTCTACAAAGACCACTTTTAGTGTTTCCCTGGGCGGTCTCTATAGACATGTTTGACTGTAGTTAGATCACCATTCACAGGAATCTCTTCTGTATTTTAAAGCTACTCATGGATCCTGATAGACAGGGCTCCACACTGAGGTCTGTGTCCTGAGGGTCATCCACAGCAAACTACGTGGACTGCCCTTTTAAGGCAATGTGACGTTCTCCGTCGTGCAAATCTTAAAGTCCCTACTACGAGTACATGCACCCCTCTTCATTTAGTGACATGTGACTGAAGAGAGTATGGGATCCATCTAGTTTACCACAGCCTGGTTGATATCGGGCCCTGCTATAGGTCTATTCTTAAAGCCAGGGGAATACCCCAGTTCTCGTGATGGTATGACTTCATTTGCAGTCTTCATCTTATGTTATTAATCAGAGATGTGCCAGTGATGCATGCATGTATCACATCTGTGGTTTTACAATCGTCACATCTACTGCAATTCACTAGTCATACTCTAAGTGTGAATTGGTCACTACTGCAGGTCTATGCTTAGAGCCAGGGGAATACCCCAGTTCTTGTGATGGTATGACATCATTTGCAGACTTCATCTTATGTTATTAATCAGAGATGTGCCTGTGATGCATGCATGTATCATAGCTGTCGTTTTACAATCGTCACATCTATTGCAATTCACTAGTCATGCTCTAAGTATGAATTGGTCACTACTGCAAGGATGTCAGCCTTGACGGTTGAAAATGTCATCCATGTGTTCAACATTTCTCGCCAAGCACTAAAGACTGATCTTTATAGGAGTTTGGAAGCACATGAATGCCAATCTACGTCCCATCTTCATATGTGTTCAAGAGTATAGAAATGGGATGATTTTTCAATGTTATTAGAATCATTAATGTTTAGACAGAGTGGCTGTGTATAAGCACACACATGCTTGAGGTACAAGTATTCTAAAACACCCCTGGCACTCACTCTCTCTCTCTCTCTCTCCCCTCTCTCTCTCTCTCTCTTATACCCCTCTTTCAACTTGGTGTGCCATTATTGTAGTCTTGTAGCTGTGATCCGATTGAAAATCTTCTGATCCTCTTTGTATTTCTCCACAACTTCATAGGGGAACCCAACCTTGATAACAAACTACTATAGAAGAACCAGGAAAGCAGAGAAACAGACTGGTGAAGTTTTAAATGAAATAATCTTGCAATGTTTACTATGTAAAATGCAAAAAATGACAAAGAGGGAAGTATTTTGTTATTTTGTTATTTAAATGATAGAATGTTAAACTACATTGTAATTCGTTATCAGCACTTTTGTAGGAATATCAAATCTTGTTAAAGTTTTTATCAGTGTCTCCTCTGATGGTTGGAAATGTCGTCCATGTGTTAAACATTTCTTGCAAAGCACTAACGACTGATCTTTATAGGAGTTTGGAAACATGAATGCCAATCTACGTCCCATCTTCATTTGTGTTCTATTCTTGAAATATAGGTTACTGATTCTCACACCACATGGAAGCCCCATATTTAAAATAACTACAGATATAACTAGAAGCCCTACTATTTGTTTTCTTTTTCTTCATGAAATGTTGCATAATTGTGTATTAATCTACTTCAGAAGAAAATACTGGCAAGATATTGGAGAGGTGGCCTTTGGTTGGGTGAAAAGAGAACTTTCACAATTACCCCCGCCCTCAAAAAAAAATAGTAGGGCTTTTAATCCTGAATATAGTTACAGTTACTGTTATGTATGAAATGTGGATCAGGCTGTAGAAAGAGGTAGGGTATATTGCTATTTATGAATGTTTGAGACAATTCTAAGTGTTTTTGTTGTTCTTTTGTACTTTTTATTATGATAGATTATTTAAAAATAAAGACTACAGACCAAGTGTTTCCTCCATGATAATTTCTCTCCCATTTTTAAATTTTTACTTTGTAGCTGCATTATTTTGAGGCACTCCACCATGTCGTGTCTGAATGGGGCAGATAATCATTTAATCTGAAGAATTTTTTTTCAAAAACATTTACCTGGAAAGTATTTAAAAGAGAAATAAATTTTCTGGAAATGTAAATGATTAAACAAACAAAACCAAGAAATACTGTATAACTGAAAACTTGAGGGACATGAATGTCTTGAATTGTTCAGAACATCAATTTTCATGGCATGCAAGAAAGAATTGAAAAGACTTATTTTTGTGTCAGTTGTGATTCCATTATATGATCACAGCATGAAACTTACAGGAATCTGAATCCTTTTCTTGAATGCGTATTAAAGTCTGGTGTTTTAAAAGCGTAGCACTCATTCTTTACAGACAGACATTTGATGTGTACTATGCTTTTATAATGTTATATTGTCACTGTTTTCAATCGTTTTTTAAGATATCTTTTCTATTTTTGGGGGGGAGGTGGTTTGCTTTGTCATGTCTGACCAAGGCTTTTTTAAATTGCAAGAACCTTTGGTAATGTGGCGTGAGTAGTGTTTGCTGAAGAAAGACCAAATGAATGTTTAATTAGAAATGTACTACGTTATCACAGTGTCATGGTAAAGTATGACAAAGGGTCAGAGAGGGGGGCATGGAAGGTGTCTTTAAATTAGATTATTTATAAATGTCATTTTCTTGGATTAATCAAAATGAGGAATTGTTTTTACAATATTGCTCTTGGTGACCATGTCAATAATGTGAGGAAAAAAATCAAACAATAAATACATTCTGCTTGTACAAATGTTTTTAAAATATAATTTGCCTTTTTTTGTTTTGTTTGTTCTATTGTTTGTTTTCTATTTTATACATGTAAACTGAAGTGTCCTGTTTGTATAATTATTGCCTGGAGCCAGGGGGCGTCGTCTCATTTTTATTTTACACAAAATGAATGCCCTTCTGGCTCTCAGCATATTAAGTGTTTCAGATGTATCCTGGGAAATCTGTTTTACTTCTCAGAGTTGTAATAATTAATATTTATAGATTGAGGTAAACCCTGCTCTTTTCTATATCACTTTAATAGTTATAATCAACAAAGAATACAAAAAACAATACAGTGGAGAAAAGGCACAGGTCATGCCAGATTAATGACTTTGCAATACATTACATCATTTACTACTGCTTTCTCTTGGAGTTTTTTTGTTTTGGAGATTTTATTTTTCATTTAAGAAAAAAAAAATCAATAAATAAGGCCCTCTTGCGTTTACAATTCGTTTAATGACGACAAAAATATCATTTTGAAATGAAAAAGATAAATCTTGTGACTCTCATCGTGAGATCAAACTTGGTTCTTTGTAAAGTGTCTAAACGTTGGAACACTCCATAAATATTACCTATGTTAGCATTCCAGACTCGCTATTGAAGAAAAGAAAACAAATGAAATGAAATAAATGTAATTCCACTTGTCTGGCTTGTACTCTGGACTTTGACCCAGGATAGCTTAAGGGAACAGGTTTAAAGCAGGTAAAGATAAATAAATCGCTACATATCGTCATGCATGATCACTAGATAGACGTCAGTGGCAGATCCAGGGGCGGGTGGGGGGGGGGGGTATGGGCATGTGCTCCTAGACACTCCCTTTCCCCGACAAAAGGCAGAAAAATAGAAAATAATGAGCATAACTTAAAGATAATGACCCTTCCCCCCCCCCCCCCCCCCCCCCCCCCCCATTCAATTTTTTCTTGCTTGTAAGAGAATTTGCGGACTTGTGCCCCCACTGCCAGATCATCCTGAGTCCACCACATTTGAAAACTTGATTTAAGGATGTATGAATGGATGTTACAAGTAAATAACCAAACTGGAAAATTGAAATATAATATCTTCGATGCATTTTTCTTCTTCAATATTACCTATTTTCGTGAAAAAACAAAGAAAAATACAAATTGTGTCCGGGATAAATGTTATTAGGAATCACAGGAATTTATTTAATGTACAATAAGAACTATAGTACATGAAATGAAACATTTCATCGAAACATAATGTATATTTTATACCTGATTTCAAACATCTTGAAATCAATTGAGAACATGGGTGTCGATCCCGGGGGGGGGGGGGGGGATGGGGGGGGGGATATATCCCCCCAATATTTCAGGTGGGGGGGGGGGGGTGGCCTGTACAATCATTCCCCCCCCCCCAATAAATTACCATAAAAAATAAAATAAAAATGAACAGAAAAATTAATGATTAGAGCCCGATTAGAGTAGTTAATGGTTATTACTCGCAAGATGACCATCAATATACACATTTTGCTCTCTCATTTTCATAATACATATATATATATATATATATACGAAGTAAATGAGACAACCGTATATGAGACAAGAATAAATTGAATTCTCGCTCATACGGCTTCATCAGGAATTGATGAATTTATTCAATTTGTTCAATCAACAGCATCATAGAAATGCAGTGCGCCAAATGCAAAGCCGCAGCGTTAAAAAGCAACGAGCTAAATGTTAAGCGCGAAGCGCAATAGTAGCAATCTGCAATGCACATCAAACAATCCTGGACAGTGTAAACATAAACTCTGTGACGAATTCGTGATGAGATCGGAGACAAGGAGAAAGATTTTCGGACATCAGTATGACTTATAAGATAGTTCACTAGTTGCTATGTTGTTTCCGTTCACCCTTTTTAAAATTCACGTCATTGTATCTTTATTTTTATTTTTTCACTCATTTTATTTCCTGATATTTCATAAAACATTTTTCACTTTTGGAGAAAGATTATTTCACATCTTATTTTTGTTTTATTGAAAAGCTGATGTAGGCCTATATCACTGGCGTACTGGTGGGGGGGGGGGGGGGGGGGGGCTTGCGCTTGCCCCCCCCCAATAAAATCCAGCCATGACTTATTTTCAATTTCATACAAGTGATTTATAAATGTTCGTATTATCACATGATTTTCAACATAATTCGCGTTTTTCCATTTCTGTTGCAAACTGACACATTCCCAAATAGCCAGGAATAGCCAGGAACATATATTTTGTATAGTCACGAATGGTCCTAATTAGTGGCCGATAACTCTAACAGTAGTATACAATTCCTTTCCAGAAGCTATTGCGACAAGCACTGCCAGGAGATAACATGATATCCACCACTCGGGCTGTACATGCAAAGATTTGCGAACGAACGTTCCATACGTACATCATGTGGGGAAACTGAATTCAGACGTGGATTAAGAGTAATATTTAAATGAAACGTCAAAGCTTCCGCGCTTCGCGCGGGAGGGGGGAAACTGAATTCAGACAAGGACACGATACAACGAATCGTCTTCTTTCTCTAATAATTTAGTGAAACGGTAAAGCTTCCGCGCTTTGCGCGGGAGGGAGGCAACTGAATTCAGACTAGGATTAAGAGTTATAATTAATTGAAACGTCAAAGTACACCATACAACGAATAGTTTTCTTTTTTTAATAGTTTAAGGAAACGTGAAAACTTCCGCGCTACGCGCGGGATGGGCGAAAATGATTTCAGACGTGGATTAAGAGTAATAATTAAATGAAACGTCAAAGCTTCCGCGCTTCGCGCGGGAGGGGGGTAACTGAATTCAGACAAGGATTAAGGTTAATAATTAATTGAAACGTCAAAGCTTCGCGCGGGAGGGGAGGAACTGAATTCAGACAAGGACACGATACAACGAAGCGTCTTCTTTCTCTAATAATTTAACGAAACGTGAAAGCTTCCGCGCTTCGCACGGGATGGGCGAAAATGAATTCAGACGAGGATTAAGAGTCGAGAATGGTAGATCGAATCGTCTTCTTTCTGTAATAATCTAATGAAACGTCAGAGCTTCCGCGCTACGCGTGGAGGAAGGGGAACTTGATTCAAACAAGGATTAAGAGTCGAGAATGGTAGATCGAATCGTCTTCTTTCTTTAATAATCTAATGAACCGCCAGAGCTTCCGCGCTACGCGCGGAGGAAGGGGAACTTGATTCAAACAAGGATTAAGAGTCGAGAACGGTCCAACGAATCGTCTTCTTTCTCTATTAATTTAATGAAACGTCAAAGCTTCCGCGTTTCGCGGGGGAGGGGGGAACTCCCCCCTCCCTGCACCCAGCGCGCTCTGTAAGTGATTCGCGTACTACCGCCCCCCCCTAAAATGAAATCCTGGGTACGCGCTTGGGGAGGGGGTGCAACCTGCCACACACTTCTACCTCTTGGTTGCTTTGATCCATTGCCGAAAATATTTTGGCACCTGTCATCCCCCCCCCCCCCCGACCACGGATACAAATCGACACCCTTGATTGAGAATTTTCACATATTTCAATCTGGTAACTTAACGTACAGGATTTACCCACCAACTGTAGATTGATAATTAGACAGATGAAGATACTTGTTTAAATCATATACCTTCATAATGTCGATATAGAAAGCATAGAGACGGGTTAAAAACACTTTAAAGCATTAATGCTGAGTAACTACTCTCACTCCCGCCCTCTCAATTTACAGCAATCTGTGTATAATTCTGTTTGAAATAATACAATGATTTGTTAAAATAACTAATTGATGATGATCTGTTTGCACACTGTAAACAACTTTGATATTCATGTAGGTATAGCATTCCTTATCGGATATGCACAGAAATAAAACAAAACCATGTAATTATGAAGTATAAACTCATCACATGTTTGTAAAGGAATGGATAATTAAAAATATGCAAGAATTTCAAGCACTTGTATGAATATCTACAATTTAAACGATTGAATGGGAGAAAATGGGAAAAAATGATACCACGTTTGAAAATAAAAAAAGCGTTATGAGTAATGATAAAAACTGATAAATTTTTGTTTTCGCCATCCTAGAACAGTCTATGTACAATTCTGTGAGAAGAGAGGAAATTTACAAATAAGACACTGTGTTCAATGAAATGATTCTTTGTTTTCAACGTTGCTAGGTAAGACACTCTTTGTAATTAGGGAATCTATACGCATTACTAACGTGATATGAATAAAACTAGTATTGATACCAAATGAACATAACCGTTGTAGCTAATAAATTGAGAAATATGAAGATTAAATATATATATATATATATATGTATATATATATATTGGATAAGGCAGACTAATGGAGCATGGTTGCAACTCCGAGTTTCACGCCTTGCGAGCGATCATCAGGCAACTGATAGCATGATTACTCTACAATCTACAATACGTTCAAAATAAGGAATACAATACAATACAAAACAATAAGATTTACTCATGGGTGAAGGGGCTATTGTGATTGTTCAGGTACTGCGATGGAATTTTAAACATGGGAGGGGGTATCGCAAAATAGTCTCCACCAAGGTGCTAGTACATAAATATATATATATATTTAATTAAGTATAGTCTCTTTTGAAGTTGCAGAGGTAGAATTTGTTTTCGTGGCGGCATTTGGAGATGAGTTCTGGTCTTTTGTCCAAGAGTGTCTGTTTCTCGGCGTTGATGATGGCAAGCTTCTCAGTTAGGCACAGGTTGCATTTCTTCGTTTCGCTGGAGTACGCCTGGGCCTTGCTGGAGATCGACCACTCGATGGTGAATGGGGTGCTTTGGTGTTTGAGTTGCCAGATGTGTTTAGAGAGTTCTGTGCTGTTTTTGTGCTTCTCATGTCGGAAGGACTGTAGATGGTTGCCGTACCTCAGCTTGAACGGGGGCTCGGTGAGTCCAATATATTGCTTAGGGCTTTCTGGGCCGGAGACTTTTGCACTGTATATATATATATATAAATAATGTAGATACTTGAAGAAAAAAACCCCCTAAAACAGGTTCAATGAAAAAAAATATATCTCAATTGAGATCAATATATAAATTTAGTCAAAACAGACGATTTTTACAATACGTTTCGTATAAAGCTACATTCATACAAATTATAAACCATGTTTTTACATTGCATTTAACCTCCTCAATATACATAATACATACATATATATTTACGTTCACTTGGTGGATATACATATTCAAATTTAGTATTAAGAATTCGCCTAATCGCTTCTTTCACTCACAGAACATCCATCCCAATTGTTTAGAAACCAATAAATATTTTTGTAACCGCCACGGATTTTGTTTTAAAATTTCATCATAATAACTTGTTAGCTTAGTGAGCCCCGAAAGGCTTGTAAACAATAGTTATTTTTATTAATATCAGTTGAGGAAGAAATCCCGAAAATATTTTTGGCACATCTGACGAAATCATTAACAAGCCCTAGATTATACTTTTCTCAATACTTTGTGGTTAACACTGTACTTATAGACATGGTCCTTGGTTTTCTCATCAATTTAAACTTTACTTTCCAAAGACAGAGTAAGTCAGAAAAAAAAAATCATATTCAAGCCCCATTATCTTAAAAAACAGCAGAATTACTGGTATATATTACCTGGTTACCGTTGTTAATAATGTCGTCTTTTATTGATAGGGTGCTTATCAAAATACGATCATGGACGACTGAGCACTAGCCAGTTTTAGAATGCATGTGAAAATTGACTTTGCCCATGTTTTTGATAATACTGTTCACGGGTTACTTGATAATTATCATATGAGTTCATTCAATCGAAATAAAGACTATTCAAATTAATCTTGGTTTAAGCATTCATTTCATTCAAAACAGAGTCAAAAGAGACATGTTACTATTCAGCTGTCGATGTGATTGTATTGATCAAGGTGTCAAAATAAAGAAAAGATGGCAGGCAGCAACTTGAGCATCGACTACTAATTCTATAATAGTGTTATGATCGCAGCAATATTTAATACAATAGCAAGTACTAACTAAAAAATAAAGCAAATTAAATAGCCTTGTGCATCACCTATTGGAATGTGTGAACATGCTAATAACGTATCACGTAATCCTAAAATGATTTCTATGGGACATACAATAGGGTAATGAAATTGCACTTGAGATGATTCTTTGAAACTTGTGCCCGTTTAAAGATTTAATCTGTATTTCCTTGTTGTAACTCACGCTGAACATATGCAAATTCATTTGTTAGATATTGCTGCATGTAATTATATAGCAACTCTAATTAGATAATATGTATAAAAAAAAAATGACATACTGAAATTATGAACTATGGACACGGAATAAACTCATCACCTGCTTGTCATAAAATAAATCCGCAAACATTTAGGCATACAGAAACTACATGTAACCTAAACAAAATTATCTTTCAAACTAAACAGTAATCTTTTAAACTAAATAATAATGTGACTAAAACTATCATATCTTCTTTCTACACCATTTTAGAACAGTCTACATGGTCTATGTACAATTCAATTACTTTGAAAATATTTTGTGAACGATACTAAATTTATGCAATAATCCTTTGTTTTCAAATAATAATAAACTTTGACTTCCAAACACATGTGTACTCTGAACAAGAATGGTATGTATAGTTTATGAAGGCATGATATTCAAAATTCACATACAGCTAACATTTATAAGATACATGAACAAGTATATAACAAATCGCAATTAGGTATGGTAAGAATATTAGATAAAGTATGAATACTTCAAGATGACCACAGAATGCTGCAGTATGAAGTAATGTCGCACCTTCATTATCACCCGTCTCAGTCCGTGTTCCTTGACGAAAGAGATATTGAACAACATTAAGATGACCATAACATGCTGCAAAGTGAAGAGGTGTCTGACCATCCTAATCAACAATCAAGACCTGTGCTCTTTCACCGACGAGGTACTGAACTACAACAAGATGACCATTGCGTGATGCATAGTGAAGAGATGTCTCACCATCATTATCACGCTTATCAACCTGTGCTCCTCGACCAACGAGATACTCAACTACTTTAAGATGACCATTGTGTAATGCATAGTGGAGAGGTGTCTCACCATCATTATCACGCTTATCAACCTGTGCTCCTCGACCAACGAGATACTCAACTACTTTAAGATGACCATTGCCTGATGCATAGTGAAGAGGTGTCTCACCATCATTATCACGCTTATCAACCTGTGCTCCTCGACCAACGAGATACTCAACTACTTTAAGATGACCATTACGTGATTCATAGTGAAGAGGTGTTTCACCATCATTATCACGCTTATCAACCTGTGCTCCTCGACCAACGAGATACTCAACTACTTTAAGATGACCTTTGCCTGATGCATAGTGAAGAGGTGTCTCACCATCATTATCACGCTTATCAACCTGTGCTCCTCGACCAACGAGATACTCAACTACTTTAAGATGACCATTACGTGATGCATAGTGGAGAGGTGTCTCACCATCATTATCACGCTTATCAACCTGTGCTCCTCGACCAACGAGATACTCAACTACTTTAAGATGACCATTGTGTAATGCATAGTGGAGAGGTGTCTCACCATCATTATCACGCTTATCAACCTGTGCTCCTCGACCAACAAGATACTCAACTACTTTAAGATGACCATTGCCTGATGCATAGTGAAGAGGTGTCTCACCATCATTATCACGCTTATCAACCTGTGCTCCTCGACCAACGAGATACTCAACTACTTTAAGATGACCATTACGTGATTCATAGTGAAGAGGTGTTTCACCATAAGTTCCAATGTTATTGAACTGGGCTCCTTTTCCAAGGAGATAATCAACTACACCAAGATGACCATTGTGTGATGCATAGTAAAGAGGTGTCCGATGATGTTTATCACGCTTACTAATCAGTGCTCCGTTGTTGACGAGGCTCCAAACTACCCGATGATGACCATAGTATGCTGCCCAGTGAAGAGGTGTCTGGCCTTTAATATCAAGGATATTAATCAGTGCTCCTTGACCAACGAGAAACTGAACTACGTCGCGGTGACCATTGCGTGATGCACAGTGAAGAGGTGTCTGACCATCCAAACATAGCAAATCAATTCGTTCTCCGCAATCAACGAGGTACTGAACTACATCAAGATGACCATTGCGTGATGCACAGTGAAGAGGTTTTTGGCTGTCCTTACCGCCTCCATTAACCTGTGCTCCTTGACCAACGAGATACTGAACTACATCAAGATGACCATTGCGTGATGCAAAGTGAAGAGGTGTCTGTCTATGCTTATCAACAATCAAGACCTGTGCTCTTTTACCGACGAGGTACTGAACTACATCAAGATGACCATTGCGTGATGCCAATAGAAGAGGTGTCCGATGAGCATCATCATATTCATCAACTTGTAGTCCTTGACCAACGAGAAACTGAACTACATCGAGATGACCATTGAGTGATGCACAGTGAAGTGGTGACGGATGACCACTATGTGGGTAATCAAACAGTGCTTCTTTACCAGCGAGAAACCGAACACCATCGAGATGACCATTGCATGATGCATAGTAAATAGGTGTCTGACAATTATAATCTACGTGATCTTCGAGAAACCAAGCTGTAATAGCTTTAGAACCATTGATCACTTGATGTTTAGTATAATAATTACCCGGGTCAGATGTTAGTCCTTGGGAGAATTTACGAACTACACTTTTGAAAACGTCGGTAGTATTGCGTGTTTTCCTGGAATGAGGTTCAATAATTACTTTGATAGCCCTACCAATCTGTGCTCCTTTAAGAACGAGATGCCTAACTATATCGATATGACCATTGTGTGCTGCACGGTGAAGAGGTGTCTGACCATCCAAACTTCGACAATCAATTCGTGCTCTGCGACCAACAAGGTACTGAACTACGTCGAGATGACCATTACGTGATGCCCAATGAAGAGGTGTCTGACCATCCAAACTTCGACAATCAATTCGTGCTCTGCGACCAACAAGGTACTGAACTACGTCGAGATGACCATCGCGTGATGCCCAGTGAAGAGGTGTCTGACCATCCAAACTTCGACGATCAATTCGTGCTCCGCGACCAACAAGGTACTGAACTACGTCGAGATGACCATTGAGTGATGCCCAGTGAAGAGGTGTCTGACCATCCTCACTTTGCAAATTAATCGTCTCTGCATTGCGACCAACAAGGTACTGAACTACGTCGAGATGACCATTGAGTGATGCCAATAGAAGAGGTGTCCGACGAGCATATCATATTCATCAACTTGTAGTCCTTGACCAACGAGAAACTGAACTACATCAAGATGACCATTGAGTGATGCACAGTGAAGTGGTGACGGATGACCACTATGTAGGTAATCAATCAGTGCTCCTTTACCAGCGAGAAACCGAACAACATCGAGATGACCATTGCATGATGCATAGTAAATAGGTGTCTGACAATTATAATCTCCGTGATCATTGAGATACCAAGCTGTAATAGCTTTAGAACCATTGATCACTTGATATTTAGTATTATAAGTACCCGGGTCAGATGTTGGTCCTTGCGACAAGTTACGAGCTAGACTTTTGATAACGTCGGTAGTATTGCGTGTTTTCCTGGACTGAGGTTCAATAATTACTTTGATAGCCCTACCAATCTGTGCTCCTTTAAGAACGAGATACCTAACTATATCGATATGACCATTGTGTGCTGCACGGTGAAGAGGTCTTTGGCCGTCGTTATCGCCTCCATCAACCTGTGCTCCTTGACCAACGAGATACCGAACAACCTCAAGATGACCATCGCGTGATGCACAGTGAAGAGGTGTCTCACCATCATTATCACCCATCTGAGTCTGTGTACCTTGAACAACAAAATACTAACCTACACGGAGATGACCGTTGCGTGGAGCTCGGCGGAGAGTTGTCTCACCAGCATTATCATTGTCATTTATCTGTGCTCCTTAACGAACGACATGTAATATTTCCACTTCATTGGTCTGATTTCCGTCACATAAACCAACATGCTCTGACCCATTCAAATATATCAACAACGATCCCTTGTAGATTGTTAAATCAATTCAAAAAATCAGTGCATAAAATTGTTTCACGATAAAACTCTAATATATCTATGAAAATAGCTCTCTGATTTTTATCCGAAGAGTTTACCATGTGGTTGATACGATGGTATATTACACAAAGGTAAGAATGATAGCATCGTTATCTGCTTACAGTTTTCTCAATCAAACTAACCGACGGAACAGTAATTAAGAACATTGCAGATCCTTTTATGAAAAACAGGCGTTGTTTTGTAAAGCATCTTCATGGCAATACGTCACCGTGAGGTGATCTAGGCTTCGCTGCATTGTAATACAAAAGTACATGAAAAGAGAGTATCGCATGGTTGACTATTTAAATTGAGCCGAAACCAGCTACTTGCAGCAATATTTACCGACACAATTTCCATAACAATGTCTATCCCAGTGGCGGATCCAGGAGGGGGGGGGGGGGGGGGGGGGGGGGTGGAGGTGGGGGGAGGGTGTAGAGGTGTCGTGGTCGAGTGGATACGTCACCGGAATATCGATCACAAGGTCCGCGGTTCGAGTACCGTTGCGGCACTAATATCTTTTGGCAAGTTTTTGATCTACATTTGCCACACTCAACCCAGGAGATTTTAATGGGTACCCGGCAGGAATTAATTCATTGAAATGCTAGGGCGTCGTAATGGCAGCCGTAATAAGGCGAGGGTAATATTCAGGAGCGCCATGAGTGTCAAGTCTGACAGACATGAGCGCTATACAAGAACCCAATATTATTATTATTATTATTATTATTATTATTATTATTATTATTATTATTATTGTTATTATTATTATTATTATTATTATAAGTCCGAAAATCAAGCCAGAGACCCCTCAAGAAATAAAATAGAAAGTAATCAAATCATATATTTAGTCTTTCCTTCCTTTTTCCCCATTTGTTCCCCTTGGGGGGGGGGGGGGGGGACTAGGAGCAAGTTCCCACTAGTTCCAGGATCAGCTACTGGTGTATGTCTCGTGTTCACGCATAACGATGAAAAGATTTTGTTTTTATACTGCTATTCAACTCGCCCTACAAAAGTTTTCCTGGTTTAAAGTCCAGGGTAAAAGCCAGACAATTGGAATTACAGCAAGTAGTGTCTGCATTGCTTACATGCTAGTAAGTAAATAAACTGCTCCAACAGGGATATGGAGTTCACTTTTTTTAAATCATGAATTCCATTGTAAATTTTGACTTTTAATCAAACGTGCGAAAATAGTATATTACAGGGGCTCACCAGTGTCTTTAATATGTATTTTAGATCAACATTTTTGGCTGAAAATGTTTTTTGGTGTAGAAATCCATCTATGAACAAAATCAATTAAACAGACCACATGGACCCATTGCTCACAAAGGGCCCAAAGAACCAGCTACTCACGACCGTCAAGAGGACTGCTTGAAACCTTTCTCTGAGATAATGGGAGCACAGTAAATCTCTATATTCCGGTACCAAAATATTATGATACATTTTCGTTATGAGGCTTTGAAGGCAAAAAAGGTACCAACAATCTGTTAAATAGGACCTATATTTAAAATCACTGATTTAAGAGCATGAAACTACGGTGTGAATGATATAAATATATTTTTCTGAAGACATTTGGAAGTGCGTTTTAGTAAAGAAACTTGTCAAGTCAACCAATATTACATCATTTGGGTGCACCTGAGCAAAACAAACACTCGCAAATTAGTATTCACTGAAATCTGAGGATGTATTTTATTATCTAGATCTATTTGGAATAAACCATTGTCAAAATTATTCCATAAATTGGGGTAAAACAAAATTATTCCACCTTCGACCAACAGTGTATGTATCAGCTCAGGTACACCCAAATCGGGTTTAAGGACCCATTTTTAAAATAAGTGATTTAAGAGCATGAAAGATATTGAAAAGTGTGTTTTAGAAAAGGTATTTGTCAAATCAACCAATATTACATCATTTTGTGGTACCTGACCACCCCCGGAGCTCTCAAGCTATTCAGAACGGAACATTGAGGAAATGTATGGGAAATCACGTATTTCACCGACCCAGTCCTTATCGAGCCATGGATGACCCAATAAACAGAACACTAAAAAGTAACCTCTTTTGGGAGTGTGTTTTAAGTGATTTTAAAGTATAGTGCCTTTTGAACTAGATTTAAACGTTATCGACACGTGCCTTCATTTAAACAAAAAAGGTATTCCTGTTCACGTTTTCATCTAACCTAAAAACCACCAGTTTATCACGCGACTGGAGTAACGTGATTCCACTTACCTCTGTAAATAAAGTGTTTATGACCAAATAACCACTTGACAAAGCAACGAGTTTTTTGTCCGTTAACCGATGGTGGCGATAAATACGTAATTATTTGGTTTTGTAAACCCCTTTATCGATTGGTTTCACATGTTATCCAAGGTTGATGGTAATAATCACGTTACTTACACCGGCTAATCGTCTTATTGTTCTGTCCGTGAATCTCTGGTTATATTAAATTAGTAATTCGGAGGTGTCTTACACACCTCTTTAAATAGTTTCAAAGTTACCATAAATTTCTTGGTTATGATCACGTGGCTCAAGCTGATTACTAATCTAAGCTGTGAATCCGTGATATGTAGGTGTGAAAAATTAGTAATTATTAGGTGTCTTAAAACACCTATTTAAATGGTAGTCAAAGTTGCCATAAGTTCCGCGGTGATGATCTTGTGACTTAAACGGAATATTAATCTAAGCTGGGCATACGTGACTTTTAGGTGTGAATAATTAGTCATGATTAGGTGTCTTAAAACACCTATTTAAATGGTAGTCAACTTTGCCAGCAGTTCCGCGGTGATGATCTCGTGACTCAAACGGATTATTTATATAAGCTGGGTATTCCGTGTTTTCCAGGTGTGAAAATGAGTTATTCTTGGGTGTCTTGATGGTTTCACAGTTACCATTTAAGTTCCGTGGTGATAATACCGTGACTGTTGGCATATTTCTATGTTCACCAGTTCATAACTGACTGTTGGCATATTTTCATTGCACCAGTTGATAACTGGAGTGTGCATATTTCCAGTTGCACCGGTTGATGACTGAGTGTTGGCATATTTCGAGTTGAACCAGCTGACACCAATTAATTTGCATATTGAGAATGGGGTGCGTGCAGATCTCTGTTTTTTAAACAATTTATCTGAATTTACAGCATATTTCTTAATTACCGATGATTTAGTTATATGCAATTCATTTCGAAAATACTACAAATATACATTACCAGTTATTAGGACATTTCGCTACTTCGTATAAATTATATTTAGTTAAACATGAATAAGGGAAACATTAACTATGAACTAAAATAATTTCAATAAAGTACAAGTATACGAAATTTTGTCGATTAATTAAATTATGTAAGTCTACTTATTACCAATGCCTTTACATTGGAAATACAGACGTACCAGTATTGAAGTATTGTTGTTGTTCAACTGGTTTGAAGTTAACCAAATGGTAATAATGGCTCAGCTAGACCAGTTGAAGTAT